GCTTCACTTAAAGTTCATAAGCCTCCGTGACATCGGTCATGCCTTGAGCGTATGCCTTTTCGTCGGCATCCTTAATTTCAGCCTCTTTGATGGCCAAGGCTTTTTGAAGCTCTTTTTCTGATTGGGTCATCTTCTCCTCGGCCTCTTTTCTTTGGGCCTCAGAGACCTTCCTGATTGCCTCGGCAGATTCAGCCTTTTCTTCGGCATCAGTTTGGGCTTTGATGGCAGCCTCAGCTTGGTCTTCCAGCTTCTTCATTTTTTACTGCAAGCCTTTGTTGGTTTTTTGAAGAGAAGAGAACTCCCTCTTCATATCGACCAGCTTCTGTCGATTTTCGAAAGACTGAACAGAAAAAGAGTGGACATGCTGGATGACCTGAAGAAAACACAGGGTAAAAGTTATTGCAAAAATTTCTAAGTATGAAAAAGAAAAGAAAAAAAAGTTCCAGATGAAAGACACTTTCTTGAACAGAGCGTTGAAGCATCAACGCATAGTTTTCGTATTCGCTCAACTCGGTGTTTCACTCTAGATTGCCTGGTAACAGCAGAGCAGTGCTGAGCGCAACGCCGACATTAATATCCTCGGCACTATCATTTGCCATGACTGGCTTATCCTCCAAAGTAATTTCAAGGGCCCAGGGGGCAGCAGGCTTCTTAGATCCTGAAGTTGTAGCGGAGGATGACTTTGGCTTTTTGGATTTTAGGGATTCTGATGGTTGGGCTTCAGAGCGCCTCTTTCCAGCAGAGGGTTGAGGTTTGTCACTGCCAACCAACTTTGAAATAGGCAAGGTGTCTTCAGACTCAACTTGAGTTACCTTAGCCTTTGGTTGAGCCTTTTTTATTCTTTTCGGCTTCGGTGGAGGTTGGGTTTGTGCTGGTTGATCGTCAACAGATGATGAAATGCTGGCCAGAAGATCTTTTGCAACTGGTTTTGGGCGACCCATCTCGACAGTAGAGACTGTTCGGCGTCGACGGCGGCGTTGTGATATTGGAATCAAGTATGGAGCCGAGGTTGATAGCTGATCAGCTAGATCGGAAGTTGGCCCTTGATCTGTCCGAGATGTGGACGTAGTCTGTGGAGTTGTAGCAGATGGTGGAGAAAGGCTTTTTTTTATGTTGGAATAAAGTTGAGAAGCAGAGGCGCCTTTCGTTTGTGAATTGGCAAGTTCAGAAGTTTTTTCAAATCCTTGCTGGGATAGAAGGATTGGTGAAAATTCTTTGGTGGCTGAGGAAGAACTGCAAAGATAAAAACGGTACAGACATTAGAATAAAAATATTGAACAAATTGTGCAAGAAGATAAAAAGAAACTTATGAAGGGTGGCCCTTACCAGCTCCTTCCCCCAAAACAGTTCGGCTTAAGGGATAAAGATGGAGGTTGTCGTTTGGCTGAAACTCCCAATTGCCTGAGAGGATGAAGTAATCGTCTTCAGCTCCCTTGTTGGAGTTTGGGAGGTCGGCTACGATTTTATATTCGGTGGATCTCGGCTTGAGGTAATAGACATAGTTCGTGTCTTTTCTAAAGTGACACATGGTATAACAGTACTGGAAATCGGCAAGTGTAATCCTGATATTCTCTTGTTTGACTAAAGCTATGGTACCAGTAATAACTCAGTAAGAATTGATGGCGAGTTGCATTGGGTTCAACTTATAGAAGTGAAGGATTTGACGAATGGAAATCAGAGTCCACACTCGATAAAGGCAACCACAGGGAAGGGCATGGAGTTGTCTGTAGGCATGATGGAGTCATCATCCCCAGCCAACCTTAGATTGGCATCGGCTGGGATTTCAATCTCTTGCCTAAAAAAGTCTAGCTTATAAGGGGTGTCTATCCAATGTTTCCACATACCCATGATATCGGGATAACTAAAAGTATTGGATTTCAGAAAGAAGATGTATAAAAAAAAAAAAAGGGTTATTGGGACCTCGGCAAAAACCTAGGTTTGAGCTAGTGCAGAAATTTGTAAGGGATGTTTCAGTTTTGCCCTAAAATATGGGTTCTACAAACAAATCCCAAACCTAAAACTATGGAGATGAAGATCAAAGGCACAGATCTGGAAAAGACACAAAAAATAGAAAGCAAGAACGGAGTTTCAGAATCAAGAACAGAGATGGTTTATCAAGAGCATAAAGAATACAAGAAATATAGGGCCAAGATCAGTGACAAAAATACAGGGAAATGGTGAAACAGTGCGTGTGTTCAAGATATGGGCAAGGGCCAAACCATGGAATAAACGCATTCAGATTCACAAATTGAACATTCGAATGAAGCAGTAATAACAACAAGTTCCAGAAAACAAATCACGAACTGTAATAAGAAGGAACAGCTGTTTACCAGAAAAAATAAAGCCAGTGTAGGAATCGCCGAAGTCAGACGATGGTTACAGAAGTAACAAGACGGTGGAAGCTTCACCGAGAGGAAGAATGAGGGCCTTTGCAGAGCTTGAGGTCTGGAACAATGGAAGAAATGAGAAAAGCTAGAGAGAGAAAAAGTTTTTCAAAAACGAGAATAAGGTGAAAGGGAAAAATCGAAGAGATGTTTTGTCAAAAATGAAAACGGCGGCAAAAAGTAATAAATACACACCTAGAAGAACGTATGCATCAGACGGCGCACGTGAAAAAGGGACGGCTTACGGGCGCGTCACAGGTACGAACCAGTAAGAAGGAAACGCGTGGTTAAAAACGGTTGAATTATGGTGTATGACAGCTCATACGCGTGAAAGGGTTCTTGAAGTTCTTGTTCTTCAACAAAGACATGTTGGCCAAAAATAATGATCTCGGTTGAGATACTGAAAACCGACATACTGGAAAAACGGGGCGATATAGGTTCCATCACCTCAGAATACCGAGGTAATAGAACCTAGGAGGCAGTTGTGGGGATATATTTTTGAGTACCGACACGTGGCAAGGTGACACCGACATGTCAGCCGAGGTGCCACGTGTCAGGGTCATGACACCGAGGTTATCTCGGTTAAGCCGAAGTTATCTCCGAAGATATCGGAATCCGAGATAATCGGATAAAAGATAAGGGACAAAAGTCCTAGAATAAAAAGGAGACTTAGCCATGATAAGGATAAAGCTCTTAGGGAGTTTATCTTTATCTCTGAAGGAGTCCAAAGTAAGTACTGAACAGGAATCCATAGAAGTCAGGCTTCTATGAAGATTAGGATTGAGGTAACTATAAAAGAGAGGCACCCCGTAGGTCTAAGGTACACAATTTTATGCTTTGAGCATTGAGTTTAACATTATTGATTATCTTTGAGAGATATACTGACTTGATCGTCGGAGTGCCCCGAGTGGACGAACCACCGTCGGAATCTTCTCTTTCTGTTACAGGTTAGCCAGGTGTCATCTATTCTGACAGTGTTCTCCAACTAAGTACTGAGTTGAGCAGTATGATCGGCAAATCACTCACACAGAAACAAAGTTAGATTCCAATAATCATGTATTTGTTAGATTCAAACATGTGAGTTACTTTTGAGTCCTAGTTTTTTTGTTTTTTTTTTTTTGGACAAATTATAAATAATAAATAATTCCTGAAATTTCATCCCCTTCGTCTGCTGAAGTCAGCCTCTGCCCAAAAAAATCTAAAATTGCTGCTTTGGAAATTTGAATTTGGACCAAGTGCTTAACAAGTACCTTAAACACTCTACCATACCAATTCTTATGGTAAATAATTCTCAAACAATATATTTAAAGCATTTTAATTTGGTCTTCTTCAACCTTTCCCGTCTGCCGAACTAAACTTTTCAACGACTTTCCAGCGAATAAATTAAAAATAAATTTTCTATTTAGTGGGTAAAATTAGCTAAATTTAAATTCGATAGACCAATGTAAATTTTATGGTAGCCAAATAATTTGTTATATTTTAAATATATATGGGCGATCGATAAAATATACGTAAACAGTAAGTAAAATGTGAAGAAATAAAAAACTCAATTAGTTAAATATAAAACGTTTTAAATGTATGTAGATTGAACGGATATAAATTAGTAAAGTAGTTTTAAAATTTTAAAAATATTTTTACGAACTAATATATACGTATGAAACTCTGCCATAGATTATATTAGATTTATTTAGAAATTACATTTACGTTACATATGTAAAAAGTAAACAAAATAAAATAAATATATATAATGATAAAAAATAAAAATAAAATTAACTATAATATTGTAAAAAGTTATGAGCATACCAGGAGGTACGTCTTGACGAGAGAAATCTAGATCAAGAAAAATCAATCCAAAAAGAGGAGGTCTCACGCACCTCCACGGGCAACTTGAAGTTTTGCTGGAAAGTTGAGGAAAGTTCAACCCAGCAAACGGAGAAAAGGTTAAGCTATGTTCGGAATGTTGATTTTGGGCTAAGTTAAAATGGTTTAAATAATTTGTTTGAGAACCATTTATCACAAGAATAGATGTGGCAGAGTGGTTAAGATGGTTGGTCCAAGGTTTAATTATTCACATGACAATTTGAGATTATTTTTTTGGGGCAAAGGCTTAGGCATGGATGATGTCAGCGTGACACAAGGCTGATGTCAGAGACGGAGATCACACGGAGATGGATAGGAGGCGTTAATTGTGACACAGAAATAACATCAAAATTTTTATTGTTAAAATTAAAACTCTGGGGTTTAAATTGGAAAACACGCTAAACTCAAGGATTTTTTTTTTTTGTGCAACTTGCCCCTCCCTTTTTTTTTTTTTGGTTCATCGGTATTGTTTTTCAGTTCTACACACTATGCTTTGGACTATAATCGCATGAGTTTTTGATTTGGCATCTAAAGTAGAAACCAACAAAGTTAGATTCAAACAATTACGTATTTGTTCTGTATGAAAACATAACAGAGCATGCCTATGATCAGACTTCAATTTGGACTGTAATAAGAGACACAAATAGACAATGAGTCCAACGTCAAGTGATGACATTATTGTTTGGTCCGTGACAGAGGACCCATCCTCATAAATATGCAGCTGCAGATGTCAGAAGACTCTCTCTCTCTCCATGTTCTTTGTGGTGTCTTATTTGTAATGTAATGTAAAATACTAAAAACAATTCTTGGGTTTTAAAGCACTATAATTCTGGGGCAATCCATAGGCCATTTAGCCCAAATATGCAGAGAGTTATAACCTACTGGCTCTTTTCCTTTTTTCTGCTTTGACAACCCTTATGCAAGCAAGAAGATGGAACCACAAAACCCACCTCCCAAGATTGCTCGCCTTGCAGACAATGGTACTCTCTCTCTCTCTCTCTCAAGAATCTTCTATTCTCAAATTTTCTGTCACTATGCTCGAATGCACTCCCAATTATTATATGAAATTTAGAAACAAATAAATTTCAGGACATAATCTAATAATTGAGAGTGCATTAGTAACAAAGAATATATAAATTTAGAGACAGAAAATCTCGTGCCTTCATACACAGTCTTGAATTGTTCATTGCGTAGTTCCCATTAATCACATATTGGCCATTCTTACAAACTGTTTAGCCACTAGCCGGACAAGTTGTAGAGAAGTGTCACCCCCAACTGGACTCGGGCTCAGCCTCGAGCTTGGTCATCATCGGTCAAGTAACCGACATGGCTGCTCAAAATCATCTGGTTTTACCTTCCTCCAGATGCAAGAGTTAGAGCAACAAGCTCTAATCTACAACTATATTGAAGCTGGACTTGCTGTGCCTCCTCATCTGGTTCTTCCCATATGGAAGAGTTTTGCTGGCTATTTGAGTAGTGTGAATGGTGCTTGTCTGCAACAGCAATATTTCGCTAATTGTGAGTGCCAAAATCCCTTTTTTATTACATTGATGAATTTCCAAAGTGGCTCTATTTTTGCAAAAATCTGACTAAGTGATTGCTGGATGGAACTGAAACATGTGCATTAGACATATAGCACTGAAAATTAAGGATTGTTGAAATTTTGCTTTTTACCAAGCACGATGATACTCAATGATAAATCATGTCTTTTTGAGTTGAAGTTCAGAGTCTACTTCAATTTTAATTCTAAAAGTCAATACTTCAATATAAGTTTTCAAATTTATGCATTAAATAGAATATATAATAAAATGAGACGAGGATGTTCTGTTTCCAAATCTTTTGTACCTTCACGTCAGTGCACATATATTTTGATATTCTCATCTGATCTAATCGTTGAGTACATTATGACAAGAAAATAAAAGATTTGAGGACAAAATAACCTTAACTTACTAAAATGCCACCTAGTGAAGCATTTAACAAAGTTATCAAACACACTCTTAATTAAGTTCCATACAGTGATTTATGTGACAAGATTATGTCTTCTCTTTGATTTTTACCTTACATAATTTTTGTACTCCCTCCGTCCCAAAATATTAGTCCCTTATTCCATTTTTCATTGTTCCAAAATATTAGACCCTCTTAAAAAATCAAGTACAAAAATAATATAAAATTCCTATTTTGCCCTTCTTTTAAATTAATAAACAATATAAAAAGTACAATTATGACATTGATATTCTCAAAAAATTGTACTATCAAAAGGGTAATTTTAGTAAATTAACTTTTTTCAAATGCAATAATTGTGCTACCAAAAAAAGTTAAATTCCCCAAAAATGACCATTATTTTGGGACAGAGAGAGTAATAAAAAACCAATCACAAATCCTTCCATAAAGGGTGACACAAAATAGTGATAAAAATCTATATAGATGACACTTCCGTTTTTCATTTTTACTGATTAATTTAATTTGAAAGACTTGAATTTTTTTTTTTTCTTTCTTTCTTTATTTTTTGTTGGTGTGGTGGGTGAATTGAAGTAGTCATGGGCCATAGTCCCCTGTATTATGACTACAAAAACAGCATGGAACCAGAACCAGGGAGGTGCAGAAGAACAGATGGGAAGAAATGGAGGTGTAGCAAAGATGTAGTTCCAAATCACAAGTACTGCCAAAGGCACATCCACAGAGGCCGTCATCGTTCAAGAAAGCATGTGGAAACTCCTCAACTACTACGCACCACTAGTACTACTAACACCACATCCACAAGCACGAGCTAAGCTCCAATTTCTCCATTCTTTCTCCCCAAACAAGTCACTAGTAGTTGGAGCAATATTTTCCTTGATTGGGTTTCTCTCCAAAGATTGTTCTTGATGTACAACATGTGACAGAGGAGCTTCTGGAGCAATTGGATCGACAGAAATCCAAAGTGAGGTTGTATTAATGTCCAATGTTAAAAATGTAATTTGGGTGGATTAGTTTGAAATTTCTTCAAATTTGATAATCTGATTGGAAACGGTCCATAGAGTGACAGTCACTAATTTGCTATCATCTATGTTGGATTTTGGACAAATTTTGTAATTTGGGCATCTGAATTCTCATTTTTAGAAATATTTGTTTTGTTTTGTTTTGAAGCATTTCTTCAACTCTTTTGTATTCACTTGTTTGTGTTTGCTGCTGCATCAGCTTATATGAGTTTACAGATACAAACTGTATTGATAGACAAAGGTTGTTCAAAATGACAATGGCAATAGCAATACATTCTGTTCTATCTGTCAGGGGCTTTAACTGGGACTAGTTGGTTGAAGTTTTGTTTCAATTTTTTCAGTGCCTAATACGGACAGATTCTGCGCAGTTTTTGTTTCACTGGTTGGACCTTGGGGTCAAGAGGGATCTGATGCTGTACAATCTCAGGATCGATTTGTTGGTTCTGTTTCTCGAAAAAAAAAATTTAATGTAACGGTATCATGTCATAGATTGTCTTGGAGCATTGTTTTACGACCATTATATCACAACACTTGTCATGTTTTCTCTCAAAAAGAGACATAAAAGTGGTAAGTCGCATTATTTTAACAAATATAATTCAACCTGAGCACTACCTATATTTGCCTCTAGGAACAAAATATAATTTTCCAAACCATTTTGATTGTCTTTTAACCTTGATATGATTATATCGTACTATAGCTAGATGACTTTAATTGTTTCACACTAATACATTTTTTTACCTAAGATTAAACTATGAGAATATTACACTCATTTTACATTTTTTTTTTCCCCTCATATATCCTATAACTATTATTACTCACGAACATCACAGATATAAGTAGTATTTTTTTTCTTTCTTATATGGCACATTTCAAGGGCTTGCTTCTTTTAAAAAAGCCATATTAGCATATATTTTTATCTAAATATAGAGCTTTACGCAAACCAAAAAAACTCAATTTAAATTATACTAACTTTACCTATTTTATATAGACTCTATTTGAGAACTATTTCTTTTTTATATATTTTCCATCGTAAATTCAGATAATCCAAAAACCCACCAATTTTATATGGACTCTATTTAAGAAACTAGTAGTTGACGCGTGCGATGCACGCGATGCATGAGTTAATTTTTTTCTTTTTAAATAATATTTTAAAAAATTAAATTAAATTATTTATATATGTCTATATATAAATTATTTTTAAAAATATGCTGCAATGTATGCATTACAAAAGAATAATATTAATTTTATCCTGATATAAAATATAGCATAAATAAACATATAATAATTTTAATTGAATTATTTATGTACTAGCGTATGCCCGTACCTAAAGGCACGGCGTAAATAATATTGTAATCAAAATATAATTATAGTTTATACATATCATGTTAAAATTTAGGGAAATTTGACTATAAACCCCCTTTACCTTCCTTTCATTGTTAAAAGGACTAAGAAAAAAATTATACTTTCTAAACCCCCTCATAATTATAAAGTCTTGCATAAAGGACAAATTTATTATTTAAATATTTTATATGACTATTATACCCACTCTCTTCCCCACTCTCTTCCTTTCCACAGATGGCCTCTTCAAGAAGACCGGCGAGCTCTGCAACTTGTGCGGCACCGAAGCCGCCGTCATCACCTTCTCCAACGCCGGCAACACCTTCGCCTTCGGCAACCCCTCCATCGACTCTATCCTTGACCGTTACATCTCCATGACTTCATCATCCTCCAGAGCCTCCGCAAGCTTCTCTTCCCTTTTTCGATATAGGGTTTCAACTCAAATCTGTGCACCATGAACGATTCCGATCTCTAATCTCCCGAGATATATAGATATATATATATATGTGTGTGTGTTTGTGTGTTTTGAGATTTGAATTCGAATATATGTGTTTTGAGAATTGAATTCGAATATATATATATGTGTGTGTTTGTTGTTTTGAGATTTGAATTCGAATATATAGATTTTTGAAAGCTCAAAGTTTTAAAAATCTGAAAAATCTATAAAATCTGAAAAATCTGAAGAACCGAGGTATGAAAAATTTTGATTTCTCTAAAATTTTTAGATTTAGGCCTGATTCAAGGATTTATAGGCATGATTCAATGTTTTTCAAAGTAAACATCGATTGATTCAAGGATTATAGGCCTGAAACTAGTAGTTGACGCGTGCGATGCACGCGATGCATGAGTTAATTTTTTTCTTTTTAAATAATATTTTAAAAAATTAAATTAAATTATTTATATATGTCTATATATAAATTATTTTTAAAAATATGCTGCAATGTATGCATTACAAAAGAATAATATTAATTTTATCCTGATATAAAATATAGCATAAATAAACATATAATAATTTTAATTGAATTATTTATGTACTAGCGTATGCCCGTACCTAAAGGCACGGCGTAAATAATATTGTAATCAAAATATAATTATAGTTTATACATATCATGTTAAAATTTAGGGAAATTTGGCTATAAACCCCCTTTACCTTCCTTAATGCGAAACTTGGACTAAGAAAAAAATTATACTTTCTAAACCCCCTCATAATTATAAAGTCTTGCATAAAGGACAAATTTATTATTTAAATATTTTATATGACTATTATACCCACTCTCTTCCCCACTCTCTTCCTTTCCACAGATGGCCTCTTCAAGGAGACCGGCGAGCTCTGCAACTTGTGCGGCACCGAAGCTGCCGTCATCACCTTCTCCAACGCCGGCAACACCTTCGCCTTCGGCAACCCCTCCATCGACTCTGTCCTCGACCGTTACATCTCCATGACTTCATCATCCTCCAGAGCCTCCGCAAGCTTCTCTTCCCTCTTTCGATATAGGGTTTCAACTCAAATCTGTGCACCGTGAATGATTCCGATCTCTAATCTCCCGAGATATATAGATATATATATATATATATATATGTGTGTGTGTGTTTGTGTGTTTTGAGATTTGAATTCGAATATATGTGTTTTGAGATTTGAATTCGAATATATATATATGTGTGTGTTTGTGTGTTTTGAGATTTGAATTCGAATATATAGATTTTTGAAAGCTCAAAGTTTTAAAAATCTGAAAAATCTATAAAATCTGAAAAATCTGAAGAACCGAGGTATGAAAAATTGAGATTTCTCTAAAATTTTTAGATTATAGGCCTGATTCAAGGATTTATAGGCATGATTCAATGTTTTTCAAAGTAAACATCGATTGATTCAAGGATTATAGGCCTGATTCAAAGCTCAAAGTTCCATCGATTTTTCAGAGTAAACATCAAATTTCATTTGATAGAACCAGAGTAAAATTTTACTCTGGTTCTATTGCTCTGTTTTTTTTATTTGACAGAACCAGAGTAAAATTTTACTTTTATACAGAGTAAAATTTTACTTTTAGCTTCAGAGTCGTACAGTTTACTTATTTTTCAAAGTAAAATTTTACTTTTATACAGAGTAAAATTTTACTTTTAGTTTCAGAGTGTAGAATTTTACTCTCATTCATAGTAAAATTTTACTTTTATACAGAGTAAAATTTTACTTTCATACAAAGTAAAATTTTACTTTAAGTTTCAGAGTGTAAAATTTTACTCTCATTCAGAGTAAAATTTTACTTTCATACAGAGTAAAATTTTACTTTTAGTTTCAGAGTGTAAAATTTTACTCTCATACAGAGTAAAATTTTACTTTAAGTTTCAAAGTGTAAAATTTTACTCTCATTCAGAGTAAAATTTTACTTTCATACAGAGTAAAATTTTACTTTTAGTTTCAGAGTGTAAAATTTTACTCTCATTCAGAGTAAAATTTTACTTTCATACAGAGTAAAATTTTACTCTGAAACACATAGTGAAAATGTCTTAATAGGAGAGCTGATAGATATGAGGGTAATATAGTAAAAGAAACAAGTTTTAAAATATCTGGGGGTTTTGAAAGTACTTATATAATTCTTGTCCTTTTGAAAGAGAAATTAGATAGTGAGAGGGCTATGACCAAATCCCCCTAAAATTTATGGAGTCTGTAGTATTTTTTGATAAAAATATTGAAAATATATAAAGAAATACTATTTTTCTTAAAAAACTTGTAATAATTTTACTTGTATCACACGTTCTACAGAACTCAAATAAAATAACAACTCCCCTAACCTTAATGCAAATTAAGAAACAAACATATAAGATTTAAAATGTTCAAAATGTAAGAGTATGGCAAAAAAAATTATTAACACTAAGCAAAATATACATATCAAAGCTATTGTATACACTTGCTAACATTCAATAACAAAAAAATTACTGGACACCAAATAATACATACCAGCAAGTGCTCTGCAATCTTAATAAACTAATTTATGCCCATGCCTGAAGGCACGGTGTAAATAATGTTTTTTTGAATAATTTTCATTTATCATTCTCTATTAAGCTAGGAACATTGACAATCAAATATACCTAAAATTATGTTTACCCATGACACACAAAATGAATAGATAGCATGCATTTGAGCAAGAGGATCCCCTTTATTATAGATACAACTTCAAAATAAGAGGAATAACAAAATGGTGTTCTCCCGTTGGAGCACTCCATGCCAATACGAAAATGGTGTTCTTGATCAAAATTCAAATAGCAGACACCTCCAAATGTCTACCTCTCAAACCAAACCAAACCAAACCAAATCTATATAAGTTTACACAACGTCAATCTTCCTCTAAATAATCTTTAACTCTATACAATGTCAATCATTTTCAAAATTTGGCAACGAAAGTCATTAATTACATCAACAACGACAACTTTAAAATTGAAATTGCTGCATTAAAAAATAACTAAAGTAAAACGACTTTAAAGTGGTCCAATAGTCATTTTAGTAGCAATATATGAAATAAATAAAAAGATCAAATCAAATCAAACGGATTAAAGGAATGTTATTTAGAGAAAAAAAAAGTTTAATATGAATTGCTAGCATATCACTCATGCCTAAAAGCACTCTCATCTAAACAGCTTAAATGGATGAATCTTTTCTCTATAAAAAATAAAAGATAAATCATATGACATGGAAGTTTGAAAAGATTACCTTGATTGGAGAGTTCAAGGGTGCCATTGGTTTGTTTCCTTCTATTAATGAACAACCCCAGACTCTTTCAAAAGCTTCTTCATCTCATCCAATTCCTATAGATTCATATCCAACCA